TAGCAGAACAGTGTCTTTAGAAAAGGGTGGGCATACTCAACTGTAGGCCTACCGTGTTGTGTGTAGAACCAGAAGCTATGACTTGACTGCAGCAGATGTGCAACGCCCCGACTGACCTTGATTCACAGCTTCACCCTTGACAATCAACTAAATAATAAAATTGCTAAAATATACATGATATAACGCACCAAATAAGGTTCTACAGGAGCAACTTTGCTTGTTTTGAGATGCTGGTTCCGAATATGAAATCAGTTTTTACCTACGAGAATTATTTTTAAAATTTTGAGTCCTGAGTTTAGTTCTGCGTGGCGGCAAGTTTCAAAGTGAATCTACGTCACAGCTCGTCTCACTCAAGTGTGACCGAGATCGCACGGAAAATATCAAGCAGCGCTTGATTTCTCGGCCGAGTCTCCAAACCATCGTTCAATTGTCCAAATTTTGTACAATTTTGTGGTTACACCTAACGATTTATCGTATGATCGCTATATCGTCCAGTTTTTGTACAATTTATCGTTTCGTGTAACCGGGCTTTTAGTTTTGCTGCAGTCAGCTCACACATGAACCACTAAAACTGTCGCAAATCAATTATTTTCAAGAAAATTTCAAACTGCAAGATATCAAATTATGGGTTGAAATGCGCCCCTTTAACCCCTGGATTTTTTTGTAATTATAGATCTAGGGAGGCATGTGTAAGTCTACTGATAATGTCTGGGATACTCATTGCAAACAGTAGGCAACAGACAGCGAGCTAGAACAACGATTAAAAAGGATGAGAAGAGAGACAAGAAGAGAAAGAGAGTAAGAAAAAAAGAGAAAGAAAAGGGTTATTTTGAAAGGTTGATTCATTTGACTATCTACAAAAACTGACTTTCTATGCTTGATTTTCTTTTTGTGGGGAAAGTCCTCAATATTAATCATGTAGCCTATGCAGATATCTAATGTAAATTGAATAACTCAATCAAGATGGGGTATTGTGTGTAGGCCCTATAGATAGTTTAGTTATTGTTTCATCAATATAATTAATTATGACTTTTTTCTCAAATGATTTCAGATGGCTGTGTACATTTCTTTTCCTGTGGGTCTTTTCTACTTTTTCAACCAGCCTTCCTTCTTTGAAAACTGGATGATGGAAAAGAGGGTAAGCATAATATATATATATATATATATTTATATATACACACACAGATCTATGCATTTGTTGGTAAATATTTCAGTGTTGTTTAAAACTGAAATTATTAAAACTTGTAAATTAATGTGTCAGTTGTTGTGTGATAGTGATGTGTGTCTCTAAGCCTTTAGATTGATCAAATCTGTGTGATTTGTAAAACACATGGTGTGACGGATCGCAGAATATAGAAAAATTACCTTTTACCTCTGGTGGTTTTATTTTATGAAGTTTATGCCTAAAATTTAATAAAATTAATGCCTTGTTCCACAGGTGTGTTTATATTTAGTTATATTTTTTAGCAGAGAGGTAAATCATAAAAGTCACAGGCAGACTTCCTCTTTTTTTTTTGGTTGTTTTTTGTAACTGAAACTAAGGTCATATGAGCGTGAGGGACACTCCAAACATTTTCAGTTGGTAGGAAATTTTGGATTTTGTCCGGAGCCTACTCTTATCGATTTTAGACCATCAAGGGATCTTTAACGTGCGCAACTTGCACACGGGACCTCCGAGATTTTTCGGCCTTCTTCGAAAAGGCTAGGAGTAGATCTTTCCTACCAGAAGATCAGGGGTGTGGCTGAAAAACAGCAGAAAAAAGGAGCCAAGGAGTAGCAGTAGAAAGG